CATATCAAATCAAAATATCTCTGTTTTTCTTCATCCGCTAATCTTAGACGAAATAGTAATATGGTCTGCTCGAGTAGTGACCGCTTGAACGACACGAATAAATTTAAAAAGTGGATGAAGTTGATGAATGTCATCCGTTGATGATTGTTTTTTGAATATGGTTTGAATAAAGAAGTTTTCTAATAGCGGTGTACATTTTCTTAAAATATTCGCCAATGATTCTACGGTCATCTGACTTCGTTGAGCAAATGGTGTTTGAATCGATAAATATTTGAGATTCGGCATTACGATGAGTAATGATTCTAACTCTTCACAAGACCAATTATTTATACGTAGATAAAGGTCAAGTCGACAAAGTGTTTGATAAATATTCGAATAATGAAAATTAAAATATTCATCATCGAGCATAACTTTTAAACGAATCAATTCTGGACATATATTGAATAAATAAGAAAGATCTTGACAATTTTTAACATCGATTTGAATCGAACGGAGTTTACATGATAATACAGACCATTGACAATCAAATTGAATATTATTCAAAATACACGTATGTAAATAAGAAAATTCACCGGAGAATATTGAATGGCATAATTCATAGAAAGCATTGCCTAGTAATCTTGTGTTATTATTATTAATACGTAAACATTCAAGCTGAGGGATTGTATGTGGCCGAATTTCATTTAATTGTTTTATTGTGGGATGTTCAAGTTCAAGAGAACGAATGTTTGAAAAAAGAATAAGATTTAATGAATTGCTATGCCATATCGATAGTTTCCTAATGCGATTAGCAAAAAAAATGACAGATGGATCATGAATTTCATTAGGTCGTACATATTGAAGAGCAAGTCGCGGTTGAATTGAATCAAGAATTGAATTAATACGATGATTAAGTCTAGAAAAACTTCTATATAACTTTTTCATTGGTATGTATTCAAATATTTCGAAAAAGATTTCATCAGGTAAATGTTCCAATGTAGTTGGCATTGTTATTGTTATGTTTTGTTTTTTATAACAAATTCTGAAGGATTTTTGTAGTATTTATAGTTTTGATAATTGAGCGTTTGGGAAAAAATCCCGCACATCTTGATTTCCAATGGAAACATGGTCAGATTGTGTAAAAAATTCCAAGTAAGTGACATCAAATCGAAAAATTCTCAGAATGGGATTTATTTTTCTGACATCATGTTGTATTTATTTATGCGTTTGAAATAATTTGATTTCTTTTCTTTTCTTCTTGTTCTGTTGGCAATGCTCACTGACAAAGAAAGCTAATATAAGGAATCGAAAGAGAGCAATATTTCAAAATGACTCACCGCTAATGACTATATGTTACTGTTAGAAATTTACCCAATCGATTTAACATATAATGTATTGATATCTTTCCTATGTTCTCACGTATTTCGTATTGGTTAGTTCTCTTAATTCGTTTCTTCGACTAAAGATGAGATCAAAATGAAGATAATAAATGCCCATTTTCATCAATGGGTCAATGATTAACTAGCAAAGATTAAAAACCGCTATTTTTGTTATCTATTGGTTGTCTCATTCGTTTTCCCGTCAGAAACGATATCCAAAATAACGCGTTTGACTTTCTCCAATCAACTCAATATTCCTTCTGTCAGTTACCTAGAGGAATTCATAGTAGTGGAGATGAGGAAGAAGTGAATAACATTAATTTGATATTAACAAGTGTTAAAATATTCAAAATCGAGTGGACATTAAGGATATATAGTTATTTAAACAATAACATCTAACTTAATATCAAATACGATTGCATTCAATTAATATTATTAATAAAAAGTACGTTAATGGAAAACATATACTAAATACTAAAATGAAGGGTGCTCACAAAGTTTCGATCCCTCGTTAGTAAATCAAGAATATCTATATCACACTCATATAAAAGTATTGATCAAATTATGTCATTTTATAGAAAAAGAGAAGAGCTATCATCTGAAAAAAAGACAGTTTGAAATATGTATATTTATTATAAGGTTATGGTCGTTTTACTAATCTTGGGGGAAAAATTTTTACGTTGCGTTTTTTGCAAAAAACAAAAATGTTCTTGTAACGCCTGAGCTGGAATAGTTTTCTGGATTTTTTTTATACAGTTGAATAGATTTCATCAAGCTCTACAAGAATATGAATATCAACAACTTTTCTAATCCTGTTTCTGATACAAAACTTGGAGACAAGTAGAAAGACTAGTAAAAATCTAATATATCGTGTATTAAAGAAAGAGTGCTGAATATACAATACCTTTGCTCAATCGATTAGTTAGTCTTTTCCTGAAGCTTAGAAAGGGTATTTTCATCTGCAGTACGTGACAAAGCATCTCAAAACATAAAATAATAGACAGAACAGTCGATCTACCAAACTTATTCAAAGTTACATATACTCTGAAATACATGATTTGCCAGATTTTTATTAGTCGATCTCATTGCTTTCAGGTTTTGTATTCAAAAGAGGATCAAAATTTTTTTTGAATGTCTATATTTTGGTAGAGCTTGTCGAACTCTACCTAATCATATAAAAATATCTACTAAAGATATGTAAAAATCCATATCTCAATCGACTTTGATTATTCAAATATTGCAAGAATATTTTTGTTTTTTGCAAAAAACGCAACGTAAAAAATTTTCCCTCAAGATTAGTAAAACGATCATAACTTTATAATACATATATGTATTTCAAACTGTCTTTTTCTTCAGATGATAGCTCTTCTCTTTCGCTAAAAAATGACATAATTTGATCAATACTTTTATATGAGTTTGATATAGATATTCTTGATTTATTGACAAGGGGTGGCAACTTTGTGAACACCCTTTAATTTTGTCAGATCTATTTTGTTACAATTAACAATGAGTAGACTTGAACACAGTCTCCTATTATGCCAATAGTAGACTTTCCTACTAATAACAACAGTCAAGAACCATGAATTTTAGTCAATCACTTACGTGAGAGAGTTCTTAAAGAATCCAACACTTCACATCATATTTTCAATTAGACTAACTTGTGTGCGCTATATAATCAAGATATGTGCTTACAAGAACTTATACCTTAGTAATATGATTTTCAATAGTTCTGGAATTTTCGTTTCATAAGTTAAACTAGTCAACGACATTATGTGGACAAAGTTTCTGCTCAAAATTCAAAAAGACACTTTTGTTGAAAATTCCGGATCCAGTAAGGAATGCTCAAATCATAATTCGATTTCTTCGCGAAATAACAACAAGGGCTCATATTCACTTAGACTTAGATCTTTCCTCATAAGAGTACAAAATCATACGAACTTAGTATGCATGATAAAAATGTTGGTTTTCTACATTTATCCACCTGAATCATGCTCAGGGTTGGAACCGGTAAGAAAAGGATAAAACGATTCAATCCGGCTGGTTGAAAAATTCAACCGATCTGGTCTGACTGGACTTCCGGCTGGATAAAAGTCACCCCTGTGCCGGTGAGTTTTCGGCAAAACTGGCTAGTTTCTAGTTGAACTCACTGCTTTAAAATCGCTCCAAACATCCAAAAATACAGTAGCAATTGATAAAGTCAGTTCCGACTATAGAATAAATTATCTAATATTCAGGGGCGGCGCGAAGAGGTCAGAGCAGGAGGTGCGTATCCACAAATCGGAGCAACTGTTTCAGCAATCTCTCTATATTAAAAGAAAATCTGAGCCGAAATTCCCAAAGCAGGAGGAATACCCTCCCCTATCCCCACCCCGCTCGCGCTGTCCCTGCTAATAGTGAAATAACATGACTGAAACAATATGATTTAGCTGCTCGTATTATAAGTGCAGAAAACTGAAATTGACCAAATTAGTTTTTTTTTTCACAAAGATATTTGAGAAAATTGCGGTGCTTCTTCAGAATACGCACACCCTTATATCATAACGTCGTATATATGTGCGTGAATGTGGACAACAATCAGTGTTCTCTTCTTTCTTCTTTGTTAGGGATGTGCACATTCGGAAGAAATACCAAAATTACTACATTCGTACTTGAGAAAATATGATTAGACCTTTTATGAAACCTTTGGAAAAGGTATGCATAATCTTTACAATCATGAGACATCACCATTTCTCAATAGGATATTGAGACTCTTCTAATTGATTTGCATAACACTGCCTAGTCCTTTCAGAAGGTGAAACCTGAAAGACACAAAAAAATCTAAAAATAGTTTTAATGTTGATATGTATATGTTCAAATTTTATTGTCGAATTGTCTTTTCGTAACCATGCATACAAAAAGTAACACAAGTAAAAGTATAGGGTACAATTTCATGAAATAATCATTAATGCAACAACAATTGTTGAGTTCAACTTTAGCAATAAATTAGTCAATAATATTTGTTGATTTTTTTTCTTTCTGACAAAAAACGTAACTGATTATTTTCATGTTTACCATAGTATTGCAAACATCGCGATAAATATTCATTATAGACACAACAAAATTTTAAATAATGGCATTATCAGAAGACTTTCTATATAAATATGTACATTAGTCGAGTATTTGTTCTACTCGAGAGTAAAATACATTGCTTTTTTTGAAAATGAGATAGAGATAAGCATAATATTTTTCGAATTTGAACCGGCATATTTCCAGTATTTACCAGCCCGATTGATTTTCTAAACCAATCCGGCCAGACCAGTTCCAGCGCTGATCATGCCTATTTTTAGTTGTGTGACACACAAACCTAACGTCAATAAAAATATTATGATTTTTCAATGAGTATATCATCAATCTATTTCGTCTCTTGTCGGAAGTTTTTTACAAGACTCTATTGTAGAATAAAGATTTATTCTCAATAGTTTACCGATTCCAATATGACAAATGTTTAATACATTTATATATCGTATACAATGATATAAAACAGTGATTGTATGTTATTGTGCACAAAACTCGCTTGGTTATATAGAAAAATTGAAAGATGTGAACACACTTAACTAATGAAAAGACAAACTGAAAATCTTAGAAGAGTTCATTTCTGCTAGATTATTTATCGGGTGGAAGAAGGTGTGATATAACTCGTTCAATGCGTTTCTCGGCATGAGCAACATCCTCTGAATCTGCATTTGGTAATTCAATCTGATAGATTTCAGCCGCTTTGATATACTTTTGTAAAGCTTCTTCCCATTGATTCATCTTTTCGAGTACTTTACCGACGCCAGATAATATTTTAATATGGTGCTGAGGAGGTAAATGAATATTTTCGTCTAATCCCGACGTGTAATATTCTAGAGCTTTCTCATTTATACCTAAGTGATGATAGCAATAACTCAAGGCTTCATAGCATTTCGATCTGTGCAATGGATCGAATTCGACATCGTCCGTCCATCTAATGATAATTAAAGTTGGTTCGAGAAACGAGATTGCCAATTGATATTGTTGATTGTTCATTAATGTCTGAGCAATCATGAGTGTCATTTGTGGAGTCTGATGCAAAACTTCATTCCATTCATTGCTTTCTAAATAATTGTTAACTTCGTTGAGAGGTTGACAAAAAGATGATCGTGTTGTAACATTTTGACATTTATCGAAAAATGTAGAAAAACTTTGAATAAATTCACTCGATGCTAGAATACCGTTTGGCATCGGTGACGAATGATCATTACCAAATTTTAAATCCGTAGCCTTATGTTGATAGATCATCGCTTCATTGCTATTATTCATGAATGTAGCTACTTAAGCTAAACCTTGGTAGCAAACTATTTGCATCTGCTTATCAGACTTCTGATTTAGTAATTGTTCATATAATTCTTTTACTTCATCGTATCGCTTCCAATTCATAAGTACTTTAGCGAGATGCATCAATGAATCATGGGTTTCTTCTTCCCATCGAGATTTTACTCGATTGTAGTGATCATTTAGATTGAATTTAGTTTCATTGTGAAGTCTCATTTCAATCGAATAGATAATCGTATCATGCTCATGTATCGCTTGGAATTTCTCGATCATGAACATTTGATCTGGTGAAAATAATATTTCTGCTTCGCCATGAAAGTTACTCAATTTAGATATGTCAGCAAATGGCCAATCAGATGATGCGTCTTGTTTTCGAATGTTAATCGTGAAAAGGACGGAACATGAGTCATTCTTTATTCTTTATCACATCCGCCAATAAGAAATCCGACAGCCGTGTGCCTATCAAGCGATGTTGAAAAGAAACTATGAATAATAATCGGTGCTTTTTGTTTGAAACTGTTAAATAAATCCATTATTTCAGAGAAATGCATCCATTGACCTCAATAAACTTGTCTCGTTTGGGCATTGAGTTCAAGAACCATTAGATCGCCTAACTGATCATATATGTATATCTTTAAGTACAAATCGAAATCGTACAAGATGATTGATATTTAGTGAACGCAATGCTTTATTTAATGGTTGATATATAAATCCATGTTTCGTATAAAATTGTATTGCCTGATCGTGCGCATAGGTCTTTTTGAATTGGTCAATCGTTGTTTCTGGAACAGAAAATTTTGCTCGAAATAGTTCAATAAGATTATCATAGTCTGATGGCGTTGACTGATTAGTCATGAGACATTTTAGTGTGAAATAGTGAAGCAATGTGTTCGTACTGAAAAAGCATTCAGATGAGCGTTCAGTTATTTCGACATATAAATTCATATTTTTCTGTGAGCCATTTGCATATGTCGAAGCGGTTGTAATTAGCTCATTAAATCGTTCTTCTTGAAGGATTTCTCGATCTAATGTTTAATTGTCAGAAGATGTCAATTCTTGGTCATTCATATAGCTTACCTAAAACATGAGTAGGATATTTAGAGAATATCAAGAGTCTGTGAGCATATATTGATGAATCATTACATCAATGTTGAGTATACACTATCTGATTTTATGAGAGCCAGTAGATAAAAATATCATCGAAATATTTTAAAATAAATTCTCTTGCAAACTGCCTTTTTATTTTTTTAATAAAATGAGTTTCATGCAGTTGAGGGAGCTACACTTCAGCATTGACTCAGCATAAAACACGTAAGAATTATATGCAACGTTAGATATCGCAAAAATGAAATTCATAGTTTTCTTATACAATTTAGAAGTTTTAGTTTATCAGAAAAAATTAATAGCATAGATAGTTGATATTAATATTTGTCTTTATTAATTACAAAAAGTAGCTCTTAAAAGTGAGTTTCACCAAAGGGCATTAATAAATATTGGGTTCGTCTTCGATTGGCTTTTCTCGCTATGCTTTCTCTCACCAGTTCATGTACTACAAACCGATACAAACGAACATTAGGTATTTTGGATAAGTAAGAATACTGAAATGCTGACAATTCTCTTTTAGGCACTTAGAGTGAAGGTAATTATCTTTGATTTGTGCAAAATGTTAAAAAACAACTGAGGTTAAAAAGTAAAAGGATAGGAACGAGTTGAATTTCTCCAAATATAAAATCAATTACAATAGGTTCTTGGTAAAAGTACCTTTCGTTTCAAAGATCCTAGTGGACATTTTCAAATAATATTTAGTGGAAATCATTCCATACTGCCCTGAATAGAACAAATTCTTACATCTACGGGCAATGTACACATAAAACTCTTCCACATTATCCTAATTCAACAGACTAAAAAAGATGTGAATGATTCCTGTATGAGAAAGTCCAGATCATATATTACACTCATTTTTTTATTTTCTCTCATGTGTAGTATTGATTGTAGAAATTATATATTCAAATCCACTGATATCAAAAACTGAATACAAAAGTGTTGAGTGCATTCGGACCAACTAGCGTTTTGTCGTTTCTCGAACAATATCCGGCTACATTTATGATTCAAATAAATGAAGTCTACTGTGGTCCAATCACGAAAACGAAAATGTTTAAAAATTCAAACGAGAACGACGAAAATCTATGCCTACTCAACAATGCAGACATTCCGGTGGATACGATAAAACTCAGCTTAATGGTAGTATATGCAAAACTCACACAATGTAAATCATCGATCGGGATCGAAATATAATACAGTCAGTCGAAAAAATTTTGTAAGCACGCAAACTGTAACAGTCAAAAGGAAATACCTGTCTAACTTCTCGCTATATATTGCGAGAATTATTAATAAGCATTCTTCACAAAATGTCCAGTTAGGTAATGGAATACCATGCACTGATTTCGTATGCTATGAATGTTATCTTTTATCTATTCTTTCCTGGTAAACTGTCTATTGGTAATTCTAGAGAATTTTTAGAATAAGATTCCGAAGAAAGGCATTGCTGAATGTCAAATGAAAATGAAAATTGTTCAGCAAAATGCTTCATAACAAGCTTCTATGCATTATGAAGTATAGCTTGGACCATATGGAATGCGAATTTCTTGTTATTAATCCAAATAACAGTAATCACTTTTTCTCATGCCTAGTACTCAGTAAAAGCACATCGGTGCATCCATAGTGATATCCATTATCTGATTCAACTTTCTCAGCTTTTATAACATTTTGTTAAATCTGAACATTTTGGTCCAATCCGTGTTGTATTGTTTTAACGTGAGAAAAGTGATCCATAGTCTTTCTCGCTTCTAGGAACGGAAACTTGTGAATAAGACCAAATTTTCAAAGGTTTGACGAAAGGTTTTTGTGAGAAAGCTCGAACTAACAGTACGCATCATTATGTATGAATTGGTAGTAGTAGAATATGTTGACACAGCGAAAGTCGGCATGCTCATCTCCATCCACATCGTTCCATCTTAACGGCACGTTCACATCAGTCTTGAGAGCGTGAGGTTCGACATATCCTACTAATACTGCATGAACCTACTTGCTCCTATCTACTGTTAAACACGGAGAAAAGTTCTTATTATTAATATTCTTACGTCTGTCTTTAATGATCGGTAGCGGACATCATACCACTTTGTTTAATTATACATATATAATGAACATGTTCACATCACTGATGATATGAAATTTTTGATCTATTACCGATAATAAACTTTCCTATCAGAGTTGAAGTGAAAAATGCAACTAATATCAAATGTCAAAAGGTGAGTTATCGAAGAAAAAACAACTTTGGTTTATTCACGTACTTTGGAATAGTTTTTCATTGATTCTCTTTCTTCTTGACATGGTGGATTATCGTTGAGGATAATAATTTCTTGAATTTGATCAGAATAAACAATATCATGAATAATATTATTAATTAATTGATCTCGCACTAAGACAAAGGCCTTGGTGTGCTTATTACAACATAACTCGGTCGTAACAAATTCATAGCATTCATTCGCCTTGTCAAATATATATATAGGTCGTTTGCTAATACGACTATATTCAGCAAACACTTGTTCGTATATTTTTTTTTATCTTTATTATCGTCAAGGATAATAATTGGATACTGATGTCCAACATCAGTTCGGCATTTTTCGACAAAATCTTCTTCCAAATTGTGTTCAGTATTTGATTCAGCCATATTTCTTCGTACGGATAACTCTAAAAAACTTGCAATGCAATTTTTTCTTTCAAATGACGCTTTATTTTGTAACGAATAATTTTTTTTTTGGTGTAAAATGAATTTATTCGTTTTCTACCATACGAGGAAAAGAAGTCATTTGCATTAAACAACCATAAAATTCAAGGTTTGTTGACTATTGCTTTCGAGAACATTCATGAATTTCAATCAAATCTGTTAAAGCATATTCAATTATTCTCGTGTTCGAACATAAAGAACAAGTATCGATAAGATCATTTTTTGCCCAACATATTTTTCAATAAGAATTACATATTTTGAATCCGCATCAAATTCTGAGTAAAACAGTGTACCTTTTTGAGCAGAACCGATTTTCATTTTTCACGATGCATTGGGCATCGGTAGAAGACCTCAGGATCATCGAAAATTTTTTTTTTCTTAAATATCGATAAATTTAGCAGCATTTCACGTGGAATTCGATGATGATCACAAATTTGAGGTCAACATTTGAAAAAAAAACTTGACTTTTGGTAGAGAAAAATTCAATTTATTATAGGACACTGCGAGAGGTCTATTTTGAATTATCATTCCAAAGCGATCTAGCAACGCCATTAGAAGATCTGAAATACAGTTAGTAAAGTGCACGATTACCTTAGCAATCACACTCACACAAATAAACATGGTTAGAGTCGAGTTTGACACAGTTTTAGAGTCAAATACTCGAAAACCCAATGGAAACCCAGGTGTAGATGTGGGTGTGTGATTGTGGCTGTGGGTGTTGACGTTCTCTGTATCCAAATCCCACTCACACTCACACCCACCCACACCCACACCCACCCACACCCACACCCACCCACACCCACACCTCCACACCCATACTCACCCACATCCACACACCCACCCACACCCACACCTCCACACCCATACTCACCCACACCCACACACCCACCCACACCCACGACGACGAAAAGTTACCGATTGACGCTTGTTATGAAATGAACAAACAATTTCACTCCACACAAATCTCTAATTGATCAATTCTAAATTAGTCGTCCCACATCAAACAATATGCAACATGCACACCGATTAATACATCCCACAAAAAAAATATGAAAAAACATCCGTTAATTAACCAACGCAACGCTTAATTATAAACATCAGCAGTATCAAGAACAACAACACCTATTCTCACGTAAATAACAGGTACAACAAAAGTAACAACACATCTTCGACTGAAAATCAAACGTTCATCACAAGTAACAACTTCCCCTCAAACAAAAACAACTCGTTCAACCAGAGAAACAACTCGTCCATGTGTGAAAACACGAAGATCAACAAGAGTAACAACACCTGTTCCAATGAACACGAGAACATCATCAGGAGTAACAACTCCTCTTTGAACGAAAACAAATCGATCAACAACACTAACTACTCCTGTTTGAACTAAAACAACAAGATCAAAAATAGTAACACCTCACATTCACCAAAAACAACTCGATCAACAAGTGTAACAACATCTGTTTGAACAAAAAACAAGAATATCAACAACAGTAACAACACCCGTTTGAACAAAAAGAAGTGAATCAACAAGAGTAACTACTCCTTTTTCAACGAAAACAACTACATCAACAACGGTAACACATCCTCTTTGAACGAAAATAAGTCAATCAATAGGAGTAACTGCTCACGTTCGAACGAAAATAAGTCAATCAACAACACCAAATACTCCTGTTTGAACGAAAACAAGTCGATCAACAACACCAACTACTCCTGTTTGAATGAAAACAAGTCGATGAAGAAGAGCAACAACTTCGGCTTGAAGGAAAACAAGTGCATCAACAAGAGCAACTATTCGGGTTTGAGCGCAAACAAGTCAATCAACAAGAGTGACTCCTTGAGTTCGAACGAAAACAAATCGTTCAACAAGAGTAACAACTTCTGTGTGAACGAAAACAAGAACATCAACAAGAGTAATGACTCCTCTTTGAACGAAAACAGAAACATCAACAACAATAACACCTCCCGTTTGAAAGAAAGCAAGTCGATGAACAAGGGTAATAACTCCGGTTTCAACGAAAACAATTGTATCAACAAGAGTAACTACTCAGGTTTGAACGAAAACAAGCCAATGAACAAGAGTAACAACTCCTATTTGAACCAAAAGAAGAACATCAGCAGTAGTAAGAACTCCTGTTTCAACGAAAACAAGAACATCAGCAACAATAACAACTCGTATTTCATGGAAAACAAGTCGAGCAACAAATGTAACAAGTTGTGTTTCACGGAAATAAGTGGAGGAACAAATGTAAGGACTCGTGTTTGATCGAAAGCAAGATCATTAGTGTTACAGTCACATGTATCACTCCTTGACTCATCGGTATTTGTTTATTCATTTCGCATTCTTTGATGCTTTATTTCTCTCTATATATCTCTCCCTATACTTGGTGAAGGGGAGACAATCTGGAAATAAACGAACATCGAGAAGATACAGGGAAACCTCTAATATTTGGTGCCGTGACCGACTTTCTTTATTTCACAAAAAGAAAGTGAACCATTCTACTCATCCGTTTGTATCGGTTTTGGTGTTCTTGAATTCAAGGTATAGCAAACATTAACTACCCACAAGCAAAATGTGGCAACTTACTAATCAATCGGATCCGGTGTGTTTTGACTGCATATATATGTATCATTATAAAGTTAAACCATGTTCGCATACAATTTGTAACAAGTGCTTATATGAAGCAATTACAGAGAAAATCCGGTTGCAACACGACGCAATCATTTGTCCTAGATGTTTGGATTCAACAAACCGTCAAAATGTCCCCCGAACGCCTCCTGAACAAACTCAAATTCATAATCAACACAAAACTGCATCTATTAGTCGAAAACAGCTTTCACCTCTTTCATTGATTTTACAGTATGATTGTAGTGCTAGTGATATCGCTTCACGAATTGATGAATCTCTGAAAACTATCACAGATTTAAACGAACGACAACGAGTGCAAAAAGTTTTATGGAAAAACTGGTTTCTGTTCATTCAACCAGTCGAAACAAAAAAAGTTGACAAATTGCTTCGACGACAACGCAGTCAATATGAATATCATCACTGTCACAAAGGTGCCTACATTAAATCCAAAGAAATTTTTTCCGATACTGAACAGCTACAAGACACTGTTGTAATCACAGCTGAAGCTGAATCGAACTCACTGTGGCCTGACGGAACCGAATCATGGCATATACATGAAATAAAATCGCAACGAGAATTGTTCATCGAACAAGCTCCTCAAGAAAATCTATCAATTCAACAGAAAAATATCGAAGCTGGATCTGATGTATTTTGGCCCGTAGGCACTGAATCGTGGCATATTCACGATATAAAACCACAACGATCAATATTTACCGAGAAATTTAGTTCTGAACACTCTTACGTTCCAAATCCAATTGAACTTGAGAACAAAAGCTCCGATCTCAAGCAATTGCTTGAATACGAACAACGCTTTTTCTGTGATCGACAATCACAATACGCTATTCTACCTGAAAATCAACACTCACTGCTAGAACCGGCATTCAAACCGAATCGTTGCTGTGAATCGAAATTTCAAATTCAAGAACAGATTCTATTGTTTTCACCTCTTCATAAGCCATGCACACGATCTAATTATTGCGTTCGTGGTCGATCAACCAATTTCAATTTTTTACAATCACTTCTATCAAATAATCTGTCGAGTCCGACGAAAAAGCGGCCGAGCCTATTTTCAAATAGAAAATCGAGTTCTCACAGTAATAAAATACGTTTCACTGTATTAACACAATTTCTGCAACTTATGATCGAATATTTCGTTTATCTTGTAATTTTTTTATTATCGATACTCATCCAGACGGGATTCCTATATACTTCGACGAATAACACCTCGACTTGTATTACCAGCGGTACTTTTGCCTCTGGATTAATATTTGCGAGTAGTACAATATTAGCTACTGGTTCTAAACATCATTTCAAAACTTCAATCACATTCATTAAAACCATTGCATTACTTCGTAATCTGGAGTCGCTTTTACTATATGATATTACGTAACACAACGATGCTATTTGAAACTAATTTTTTCTGACTTTTTCCATTCGATATCAAATTGACAATTATTTCTATGACTACATCGAAGAAAACTCGCAAGATTACAGATGAAAACATTTTCATTTCTTTTTCTCCAGTCGTGTCAATTGTATATCTTTCACAATCGAAGACTATTTTAAAATTTATATCAACAATCGTGAATTTTAACGCAAATTCTCTTCGTCGAATCGTTTTTTTTTCGCTCCTCAAATGGAACTCGTTGTGAAAATGGTGCCTAAACATTGTTCTCAATATCGTTTCGTAGATTGCAAAACGAGCTCGTAAAGCTGAGTCGTCATACACAATGGTATTCGCCCTTACTTGTTTTTTTTTATTTCTTTTCGCTTTTCATAATGCTATTATACTGTCGTTTCTTCTCTTTCTTTTATTCTTTTTCTCCTCGTATCGGCATTCGTACAACTGTTTTTCTCTCTTTTTTCTTTTTCTTTTTCTCTACTCATCATCTTATCCGTTTGTTTCAATTTCGCTGATGTTCGTTTTAATGTGCGTGGACCCACATTTCTGTTGGTGGGGAGGTATGTTACAGTCACATGTATCACTCCTTGACTCATCGGTATTTGTTTATTCATTTCGCATTCTTTGATGCTTTATTTCTCTCTATATATCTCTCCCTATACTTGGTGAAGGGGAGACAATCTGGAAATAAACGAACATCGAGAAGATACAGGGAAACCTCTAATAATTAGCAAGCGGAACAAGTCCTGTTTGAACGAAAAAAAAACATCAACAACGGAAATAGCTGATGTTTGAACGAAAGGAAGTCAATCAATATGAGTAACAAGTGCTGTTTGTACCAAAAGAAGACGTTCCACAAGGCTAACAAGTCTGGTTTGAAAGAAAGCAAGGAGTTCAATAACAGTAACAGCTTATCTGTGAACGAAAACAAGTCGTTCAAGAAAAGTAAGAAACCGTCCGTGACCGAAAACGAGATGTTCAACAATAGTAACGACGCGTGTCTGAGTTGAAAAGAAACACATCATGGAGAGTAACAACCTGTGTTACGTGTGGAAAGGTAGCTCGATGACCAGTAATGGCGTATGCTGCAATTGATTGTAGTTCGTCGGTAGGATCGATATTTCGGAGATGTTTGTGAGACAACAGCAACTGGTTCATCTCATTCAGTGGTTATATGGGAAGGAATACGAACACATTGTTGGTCAGAGATTACGTGCTGTTACTTGAAAACTTGAGAGTGTGGGTGTTGGTGTGAGGCATCGACATCTTGGTCATCCGGACACCGAACATTCACAGGCAAACTCACCCACACCCATACCCACAACCACAGCCCACAGCCACACCCACCCACACCAACCCACGCCCCACATCCACACCCTAACATGTATTATTATCAGCAGCACATTATGATAGTTTAGAGCAGGTAACACATAAAAATGCACAAATAGAACTTTTATCATTATAACTGCCAGGAAGACAACCATATCCTCGATTTGACGAACATATTTCATATGGTAAACTATTATCACATCTTTCGTCGCAATCAATTCGATCTTATTTTAAAGATTAAATATTGTTAAGAGTAAATAAAGAAAAGTAGTTTCACTTACTCAATAAACTAAAACTAATCAAAAGAAAAGGATTAATTTAATAAATAATAAATTATTTGTCATACTTAATAGTAAAAAGTGTCAAAACATACATCGTCGACATCATTTTCATTTCTTTCTATTCTCATAATCTTGTTATTCAATTTACAAAGAGAATGCAAACATTTGTTAAATCATCATGACTATGTAGTGTAATCTTATTTTCTCATTCTTCTATTTTCAACAGTGACTTTTTCCTTAACATGACACTTTGCATCGTACTTATGAGTAATCATTTTCCATGTTTCTTTTTTTATCAAAACGTGTACTTGTAATTTTGAGAGATATCATAATATCTGCTACTCAGACACCGGCATTCAAAACATGATTATCACAATATTCATCTGATGAATTTCCGACATCCATGTACTGCTAAACTACAATTTTGAGTTAATTTAATGTAACGAGATGGAAACCCAACCCATACGCATATATATCTAGAGTTCCAGACGAATCCTATACTCCACACCTAAAGATACATTTTGCAGCCCTGTATTCACATGCACTACCAGACTTACACTCTGCCCCGTGGGATAGTGTATAAAATATTTTCTTTTGACTTTTGTATGCAACCGAATTTTTTTCAGAATGATATAAAGTTAGGTTCTATCTCGTTATGCCAGATTTACTCAAAACTCTCAGCTCTATAGATTCAGTATTTTCTATTAGTTCTTGAGTAGCTCATTGTACTCTAGAATATTCCGAAGAAAGTCATCATGGTCTTAGTGATGCTTAGATGTTTCATCAATATCAAGATTCGAGAGAATGACTTAGAAAAAAACTGCTGAAGTTTATAGGTTTTTTTCTACAGATCCATCAGTATACTTGGACATAAATATTTATTGAAAAAAAACTGAAATTGGTACAATAAAATGTAAATTTAGATAGAATAGAATGATCTAGCTAAGAGTTATGTCTTATTGGTTTACTGGCTGTGACTAATCGTATCTATCATTGGTTGGATTCGACGTCGACGATCTATCAGTAAATGATGTACCATTTTAACTAAATAAGGTACAATTAATTTGAGAGCAACGTTAATTCCACCATACACTCCTATGGTAGTTGTCACAATATACAAGAGATCAGCTTGAGTATTAAGTGAATAAGTGCAAGTGAGGGGTGCACATGCCTCGAAATGTCTTTCATAGTTCACACTTGTTTCCCATTGATCTACCATCAGTTCTTTGAGAAGAGATTGAACAGGTACATTAGGAGCTGAAAGTGTTCGATTAAGTGGCTGCATGATAAGATTCGAAGAATAATACATGAATTGAATTCTGTTTATGCATGAAATATCGTAAAGACACGCCAGAGTCGATTGAAGAAGAGCTTCGAGTGGATCACAGCCTACCAGAAAACCTAGAATAGACCAGTGGTCGATGAATGCCGGCGAAGTACATGTCGGGTTTGCACCACATGAACAGTTTCCATACGATCGTGGTTCCGCCCACAATGATGTCCAACTAACACTTGTATTCAATGAGAGAAAATGCCAATTGGACAGAGTTGAGAATACAATTCCGTTACCATGTGCTATTTGTCGAACAAAATCGAGCATACGTATAAACGTTGCTGATGTTGATCGACGCAATTGATCAATAGCAGCAGTAACTTGAATTTCAATACTTTGATGAGATTGGGCTCGACTACTGATTAATGTGTTCGATGCAAATTGCCCTAATGCATTGACAACCGTCTCGTTTGCAAGAGTACAAAAAGAGTTTAACAAACGAAAATGTGGCAACACAAATAGACGAAAGTCATCATATGGGTAGACGAAAGCAACCCAACGATAATATAAAATATTCATCCATTCAGAACTCTTGACTACAAAATCACTTGAACAGAATTGATGAAAATGAACAGAGATGGAGATAAATGAATTGAATGCGATAGCAATTTTTTGACAAGGACATTCCAATGTTGATGAATATTGTGGATTGGCTTGAAGCTGCTCAAATGTTGATTGTGATGGTTCATTCACAACGAATTGTTGAGTGTGTATGGTTAACGTATTGTGAGTAGTCAAAATGATGAGTGCTCCAGTGAGTAGTAAAAGATAAACACGCGTGCTCATTACAGATATTCGACGAACATAATCGTTGCGACATGTTTCCTCACTATTGAACATGTTGAATTCGACTGCTTGAGTTTTTAGTTTATACCATATGGCACGTACACGATCTTTTAGTCTTAAATGAGCTAAGAAAAGAAATATTGATAGAGTTCAAATGCTTGGATGTCTTCGACATATGTCGCAGTGTTCAACTATATTAGAAAAGTCTTTTTTTTTCTCTAAACTAAACTGTAAGTGCGATCATGCTAGTTGAATATGATCGATTCGGACTGATATTAAACACTCTTTGAGGGGTGATCAATTGGAAGTTGGCTAAACATTTCATATTGGAAAAACTATTATTTTTCTTCAGTAGAACTTGCAAAAATTCTGCAGAAACTTAAATTTCGATCCACTTGCAACTTGCAATAGACATGGGCCAATCTTCTCTCAATCCTGATCAATTCAAGATATGCTACAGAAAGTCAAAAAAAACAAAGAATTTTCATTTAATGATTATTTTGTATAGTCTCATCAAAAGAAGTTGATGACTTGGTTGCAATTCAATAGATGAAATTCATAACATTATTTTCATTACTCTTCTAAAATGTTCACTAAATTCTGCATATTAATTACACGAAATCCAGTACATAAGGTGATTTCACCCTTGGAAACCTACTTTTTAACGCAAAACGAATGAATAACTATTAAGTAATTGAGTTTGTTGCGCTCAAGCTTTCTCTGTAATCTAATTGAGTGAGAACATACTTGAAAATTCTCGTAAGGTTAATTGTTCTGGAGCACAGAAGATTTTAGAAATGAACTTAGAGAGCAAACATGATGGTATCGATTATGGCTCAACCTTAACAACCACAGTTGTTCTCATTCGAGTAGCTTTGAGGATGAACTCATCGCCATTCATCTTTGTTCTTCTGGTAAAAAACGAGCAGTTGTATCCTCAAGATTTGTCTATCAGGCTTCATATAGCTTACTTGTCCTATGGTTCGTTTCGTTTCGTGGTCGCATGCAGTTGCGCATTGATCCAACAATTTTGGGTACAGCAAGTTTTAGAGCGGCTGTAAGCCCACCGATTAAGCCAACAAGCATGGCGAACACATAGAGTGCATTATTACGTGCTGTAAATTTATATGAACAAGACTTTGGCGAACATTGTAAATAGTATTTATCGTATTGAATAATTGGATGCCATTCTTCAAGTAAAAGTGAGTTGACTAGAACATGAATAGGTGTTTCTGGCAAGAATCGAGTAGAATTTATGTTCAGAATCGGTACATCAATTGATGCATTGGACTTTATCTCACGCTGAATTGCATCTAAACATGATTGATTGAAAAGACATTGAAGAGAAGATTGTAGAACATTTTCAACAACAAAACAGCCTACGAATAAATTCGGAATATAAAATTTCAAAATCATATCCTCCACTGGATAATTAGGTGGATACGTATAAAAACCCATCGGTACATGACATGTGTCACTAAGTGAACATGAACAGTTATCCCAATGCCATGGTACCCAGCCAAAATCAATACGTGTAGTACTATTAATAAACTCATAGGTAGCCAAGTAAGCGTTCAATTGCGTTGTTGACAAGGTATTACTTGTATGAACTTGAATAAGCGCAAGTGCACGTTTGAACTCGCCTAATGTATTCAATTGAAACTGGTTAAAAGTATCACGTGTTCGAACAAACAATTCGTTACTCGATACCACCTGACTAGTGACTAATAACGACTCATTAAAAATACGCCAAGCGTCGACAACAGTGATTTTCGCCAGTGAACACAAAGTAGTGAGTGTGGTGAAAAAGCTGTTACCTGACCAGTGAAAGTCCATGATATCATAAACCACATCATCGTTAGAAATGCCTGCTAAAGAAGCGATCCATGCATAGGAAACAAATAGACTTGAACAGATCGGATGATACTCAGGTAATAATGACATGAATGAACCATAAGGTATGGCTATTTCACTGCAGAGGCAAATGAGAACATTTGAATATTGATCGTGTAATTGCTCGAATATTGCTTGCGATGGATTTTGAATGGTTATTGTTTGAGTTCGCACTGTCAAGGAAGTATAAATGATTAGAAATAAGATGGAAAGTGTCAGAAGCAAAAGGAAAACACGACTTGATATGATTGCAGTTTTCTTTTCGAATGGATCTGTATCTGTTTTCAATGTTCTAAAGAGATTCAATTCGAGACATTGGACTCGTAACCACCGCCATCCTTTGTGAACTTGTTCAATGATAGGAACAGCTAATGGATTGAAAGATATTCTAATCTATGTCAAGGATCTCGAAACTTACTTGGTTTTGGCTCTCTTCGAATATTGTATCGATTGCGCCACCAACCAATGAGATGCGGGACACTGGAACGAAGTACAACAACCAATCCACCATAAAGTCCTAGTAACGTAGTTAATACAAACAGAAACGAATTACGCTGTAGAAACGAGTATGTACACGAAATTGGAGCGCATTGAGAAAAATAATTCTGAAAAGAACTCTTTGTAATCCAACGCTCGATAAACAATTCCCGAAGAATTACTTCGATAGTTGCCTGGGGTGGAAATTGCGTCTCAGTCTCATTGAGAGCTTTGATATTAGTCAGATTACTAGGAGAAAAGAATCGAAGCACAGTATTCAAACATTCTTGATCGAAAAAGCATTCAAGTGTCGATTGGAGAAGAGATTCAAGAGCATAGCAACCAGCAACAAAACCAGGCACGTAGGCTATTGGTGGCTTAGGCGGAACATAGATTCCGGTGCTCTCATATGCGAAAAGATTAAAGAAACCTGATGGCGACGAACACGTAGGTGTGGTTCCACAGAAACAATAATTTCCATTTTTATCGATCCAAGCACCGCCTTGTATACTTACAAGTACTGATGAATCCAACATAATATATAAAGAGTTCAACTTGGATGTTTGCATGGCTGTTTGCAATTGATTGCTTTGAGTAGTACGGCGTACAAGATTGAGAACTTGTTGCACGGCATTAGCTGTTGATATTTGAACAAATGTACTTTTTGATAAACTTTCAGCATTGAGCGCTTCTACTGAGCGAATCTTTGGCGTCAAGAATGTATCCAAGAGAAAGTCAAAAAGCGTATCATTGACAAATCTATCAACAAGTGAGCATAATGACCTAATTAATTGAAATTGACCACTGGCCGATGAACGAAAATCAAGTTGAAAGAAGTAACTCATGTTCGGATTGAAAAGCAAATCTAACCAAGTATTCGACACAAAAACACTAGAACAAACTGGATGATACTGGTAAGACACTGAAATAAATGTCCCATAAGGAATAGCAATTTGGCTACAGGGACATGAAAGTGTTGTCGGATATTGATTGTATAAATCAAGATAGACCGTATGATTTGGATTTCGAATAGTAATTGTTACAGTTTGATAACCAAGTGCAGTATAAATAACCAGAACAGTAATGGTAAGAGAAAGTAGGGCCAGATAAAAGCGAGTGGAAATAATAGCTGTACGTCGTTGAAAAGAGTCGGTGGGTGAAACTTCATTTTCGAAAAGATTTAACTCTTTGATTTGTTTCATGAACGAGTTGATAACAGCGATTTTCGTCATGACTGCAATGTCAACTCAATTCAGTCTTTTCACGCTTGGATCAGTGTTCGACTAAGAAAATAGTTAAGAGACAATCATCACTGATTGATGACGAGCAGCATATCTTTTTTTATATAGAACCGACTAGTTTCTAGGCAAAACCAATTTCAAATCTGAAGCGCGGAGAAAATGTGTCAGATACATGTGCATATGGTATGCCATCATTACTATCTTTTAAATAATAGTAAAAAAAGGCCAATACCTACGAACACATAGTATGAAAGAAAATTGCATTCGGATTAGACCACTAGATAGACCTAATCAAGATGTATTCACGAATGCCAACGAACACTTAAGTATTCATGTTATCTACAGTTTTTTTCCAACCATAAATAATTTAAATAATATTCAGATACTGAAATAGCTTTAGACAAGTGTAGTTTATAGGTTTTTGATAGTGTTGATACATAACTCAACGACCTATACCTAAGCGTAGAGTCAGAACATAGTTTCTCTTCTTACGATCTGCTCATAGACTTTTGCGTATTTTACTAACAATCTTATTATTTATGAGTTTCAATAAAACAAGATCGTTGTCTGAAAAAAGAAAAACGTTTCAGAGATTTTTTGCGATTTACCGTGTTTTCTTCTCAGCATTTTAAAGGGTCAAGAAGAACAATCTACATGACTTTTGCTAATCAACAACAGACACATCGAATAATGCGTTAATGATACACTTGGATATGATCATATATAAGTTAATATCATGTAAAAGCGTGAGTGGAAACTTAAGTAACAAATACCATATCCTCAAAATAAACAAAGCAATGAAAAAAATTCACCGATGATGAAATTAACAATAACAGTGACAACTTCAAGTGGAAATTTTCTTTTTTTTTTCATTGCCAAAATAACTACCAACAAGATAAAAAAAAATGATGATATGTTGCATTAGCTAGTGATAATTTGTATGAAGGCGATAAACTTAGAAGTGTTACAATCTATTTACTTTTAGGAATAGATGTATTCGCTGAATTTGTCAGAGCATAGTAAAAAGTAGATTAAAATTGGTTGAAACTCATAAAACTTGCAAAATTTTGAAACCTTCTGCTTCAATTATTGACAACGCATTAGAGTTTTAACTCTTAATTTTTTGTTGCAATAAAAAAACGGCTTTTTATTTTGTTTGGAAAAAGAAGCTTGAATTTAAAAAGAATGGCGCTCCTATGATGTATCGGGCTTTTGCCACTACTAGTGAAAGCCATGTACACTCCGTCCATTTGGCGAATGTTCACGAAAAATACTGTCAAATATCAGCCTGGCCAACTATGTGAAGGATCGAAGTGAGAAGTCAAAAACTCGAAAAAATTGAACCATGAACATTTGTGATCAGCTTCATGCCCAATGGCATACGGGTCCAACTTATCCGACATCATTTGCTGTGTTTTTCTTTTTTTAAACCATCGCTAACGATTCAAACATGCTTATGATTACAATGACTATTTAAAATGCACATGGAACAAACGAAACAGAAGAAACGCAATGTTCTTTTATAAGCAACTTTTATTTCTCATTGGAAATGGTTTTTGTTATGAACCTTCTTTCTTCACTCCCATCGTTTTCCACTGGTTTTTCACGAGATAAACGCTATATGTTAAGCACTTAGTGAGATACTATATGAAAGTTTCAAATGTAAATTTCTAACTTTTTTATGCAAGAGTACTAAATCTTACTCGTTCGAATGTTTCGATGAGATACCTCATTGAGATTGTAGTTATGCTCTATCTGTTTTTATTAATATATGGTGTCTCCTTACTCATATCAATTCACTTTTGGTAAAAAGGATAAGAATACGCAATCATTAGTGCCGTTTTTCGATTTTTATGGCCTCCTTACATTACATGACAACCAGCTACTTCCATCTCGTTCAGCAAGTGAAAACGTCGAAAATGATGACTTTCATACTAAGATTCAACAATTTTTTTTTAATATTGTTCATCTCCCTTATGTCTCGTAAGCTTTGACTCTTTCTCTATTCGATGTCTCAATATTTCTTCAACATTTTCAATATGTTACGATGTTCTAATTAAATTGTATGTGATCATCTAAGGACATCCTATAAACGATCAGAAATTGACGGATTGAGATGATAAAAACAGCATCATTCAAGTATTAATAAAAAATGATCTCATGATGGGATATGACGAAACCAGTTTGAAAAACAGTGGTAAGCAGCTACTTTTTTCTATTTTTTTAAAGAATGGTAACGCAGTTTTTACTTGTTGTTAGGTCATTGAAAATTCATTTCAGATGTTCAAAATCCTTGGTCAGGGATAGAGAAATCTATCAACAAAGTTTAATGAGCAAAGAAAAACTCGCAATGCGCTGCCAATATTTTCTGAATCTAATCAATTACCATAGTTTAGAACATTCCGAAATAGTATGGGAACTTCTAGATATGAAAATGGCATGATATAATCTTCTTAAGTAGAAAGAACTATTTCTGAACGTTCGAAAAGTACTTTCGATTTGAAATTTTTCACATCTATTATTCTTCCTCAGAAATTTGCTAGAGCTATTTTTTATGTAGGAACTTACTGACTTCTTGTTCAGTTATTAATTAGTCATGCTGCTACTTTGACACAGCCAACAGTCTTGGTATTTTGATCAAATAAATTAGGCTTGTCTCTCTCATTGAACAATATGGCTAACTTCATCGATTTTCTTTGTAACACAAAAGTACCACTCTCGAGTTTCTATTTTTTTAAAATGAGGATGTCATTATTTTAAGCATCATTTTCTTGTTCTCTGCTTGTCCTGAAAAATTAATTAGTACTTCTTTCTTTGATTAAAATAATATCGATATTGTTAATGACATTGAAAAGCAATTATGAAAAGAATAATATGATAACTAGTTGAAAAGAAAAGCTTCTAATAAAGCATAATGGCAATAGTTCCAGTTCTGTAAGTGACTTGTTTATTGAGATACATTTTTTTTGCAAAGATAAAATTGCTTTAAACATCTACTTATTCTTTTTCTAAAGTGGTGTACTTGTCTTTTGTATTTGCCTTTTTTTTGCTCATAAGACATTTCCTTCCGCTGTCATCGAGCTGTCATTGTGAAATTCATTTACTTCATACTAAGGAAGTACGTAAAAAATACGATTGCCTGATTGCTTCCGTTAACAGTGCTAGACATGAAAGAAGAACAACCTTATTCTTATTTTTTTAATATTTTTAACAAACTTTTGATGAGTTGTGTTCCAAACTGCGATGCAGTGTTTCGAGGATTCTTCAATGAATTTGGTATAACGTCTTGAAATAGAAACTGGCGCTTAGTCTAAAAAGATTTTATGCTCAGCTCTCGAAAAAATCGTAGAAAATACTATCTCCGACAAGTCTTAATATTTGCCCAATGATAGGAAAAGAATATTGAAATTTTCCGATGAAACATTTAGAGAGCTGCTGATTTTGGTGAATCTTACTAGAGCCTCGTTATTTTTCTTCATAAAGACTTAATTTTATCTATTCTTGTACGAGATTGTAGAGAATTCAGCACAGAATATCTGAAGACTGGAAACGGATTTCTCTTACAAAACCTAGTTGAGGAAGTTATGAAATATAACTAGCCGCATTTATTATAGAGCATCGGTTATTTTAAGATGAAGATCTGAACTTCTGAGAAACAGTCCCAGCACAAACAAGAAAAAATTATAGCTTTTGCAAAATTGTTTTTAGCCCACAAAAAGAGATCTCAATAAAACTAGAAAAATAGTTTAAAAGCGTTAATCTCCATGGATTTTTGGAATATGGAATTTTGCCAATGAATAGGTCTAATGATTCATAGAACAATCTAAAAGTTTCAGTCGAAAAGAATATTTATTGTCGAAAAATTAAATTTTTAAGTCAACTCGACTTTTGTATCGTGTCTGTAAGAAACGAGTAATTTTTTTCAAATTCGATATCTCAATGAAAGAACTGACTTTCCAGCTGACACTTTCAAGATATTCTACAGATGACTCGACGTAGACGTGGTCAAAGTTTTGCGTTTAATTTCAGATTTTTCATTTTCAAGATATGTGATTGAAGCTGAGTCAAAAATTCAGTAAAACAATCATAACTCGGTTGATACATTCATATTCTCAAATAAATTCTATGCATTCAACAATGATTATATCCTTCATTTGATCTTTAATTTTCAAGAGAACTTTATCATCGAAGCAGGTCTTCGATCTGATTTATCTGAAATTCTTTATCTTTGGATAGTACTAAATGATAAACGGTATTTATTTGTAAACATGTCATTAAAAAGTCAATTCAATATTGCCTTTTACATAAAATCGACTAATTCTTCATAGACAACACAATGACTTTGACATGCTGAAAATTAGAAAGAGCCATAATGAAATAAAAGACGAAATTTAGTCCTCGATGATCCCTTTTGTGGTATTTTAATTATTGTCGGGTCGTATTTTCACTTTATCCGAATAATCGATATCCGATAACTTCAATCATCATTGAAAGAAGTTTGCCTATGAAATTCATATCTAAAGACAAAAATAGCATTAATATAGTCAATTATCAATGGAATGAAATTCTACCTTCATCAATATTGATTTATTACATATGAACGCATCTAATTCAAGAGATCGTGGTTATTTTGCATTCAAACGATGATATCGATTAATAATGCTTTTCATTTCTGACAAATCATGAAGATTTCTTTTCTTTTACCATGATTATTAAAATATTTAATGGAGAAACTTTACAAAACCGATGGAATTGATTTATTCGTTTACAAGAAAGAAAAATATCAAATTCGAAAATGGGAGAATTTTTATGAGAAAAAAAATCATCAATCACTTTTGTCTGCATTTATTTGTCATCTGTTGACTAGAGAACATTTTGCGTTGATGTATTTTATGAGTGTTAATCTATTATAGGCGTATCAATATCATAAAAAACGAACAAAAAGAAGTAATGGCTCATATTTCAATGTCTTATGTTTGACAACAACGTGAAAAGATATGTACTCAAGTAAGCTATAAAATCATCTATCATGGTTTCTTTTTCTAAACTCATCTGTTCGCTGACACTCACATATATTGCTTAACTTCTTTCAAACATTATATAACACGTTTTCTTGTTTTCTTGTTTCTAACAATATAGATCAACCGATGTCCTTAGCAATAAATCAAACGAATGTCAAAGAAACAGATAAAAATAATAACTCGACTGACGTGAAGAGACAAGTACAACATCCACCATCAACGAACATATTTTTGAATACTAGAGGACGTCTTATGTCCATTGATGATATCCAAAAAGCAAGTGTAGTGTCTCCGAACCCTTATCTAGTTTACCCTCGAAGAAAAAGTTCATCAGTTGCTCTCAATAGTTCCGTATTGCATTCGATTGAAGATAATATCAATGGACATATTGTTCGCATTCGTCTCATCTTCATTCGTATCGGTAAAACCATATTCAGAAAACTGTTTTTGCTTGCCTAATATTTATTGATTGTTCATAGGTGAAATCGATACACTCAATGAAAAATATCAAGCGGATATCTATTTTGAAGCCCGATGGATAGATCGTATTGATTTGGATACACTTGATCTAACTGCTCAGCAACGTACACAATTAATAAATGAATTGGCAACTATTCGTTTGAACGATTTTTCTCCAATTACCCATTGGACACCCGAATTATCGATTGAAAATGCTATTGCACATATTGGTATGACTGATTCTTATGGATGATATATTCATGTAGCTTTTCATTCAAAATAGGCGAACCAGAAAAATGGTTCACCATGACGAAAGTTGCACCTAAATTAGATGAAATAATTCCGGCACCTTTGGTCAAATTAGAGATTTGCGAACACCGTCGAGCACGAGGTGCATTTTGGGAAAAACTCGAATTGAATCATGTAGGTCGGAACAAAAGCATATACAATAATCAACAATGAGTTTTTTACTTTGTTCTAAAGTTTCCAGTCGATGTACAAGATCTTACAGTTTCAATCACTAGTGATCATCATATGAATACGGTTCTGCTTGTCCAAGATGAAGATCGCTTTTCGATTATCAATCGTGAAGCATTCTTTGATCAACAAGAATGGTCACTGTATGAACATGTGACTACAGAAACGCGCGAAACAAATGAAGAATATTCGTTCGAACATGAAACAGGCATCGAACCCAAAACCCATCCAGTTCTTGCTGTTACTTGTCGCGCAGGTTTATTTTTCTTTTCCTATTGACAAAAGCATAAAACTTTTGCTATATTCTAGCTCGTCAACCTGGTTACTACTATTGGAATGGATTTTGCCTGATTTTTCTTATTACTCTCTGCGCTTTTTGCATTTTTGCTATTCCACCAAAGTAAGACATTTTCTCTTTTGGATTTTCTTAATTCTATTACGTACAATTGCTTTAGTTTGCCTCAAAATCGTCTCCAAATCACTTCGACACTTCTTCTTACTTCGATTACTTTTCGTTGGGTAGTGAATCGATCTCTAGTCAGTAACATCAATATAAAAACAAACTAAAAAAACAATCGATTACTTTCTTGTTCTTTGTAGCCAACAGTTTCCTATTTGACAACCCTGGACAAATATGGAATTATATCAATTTTTATACTCGTTCTTCTATGTGTTTGGCACGCAATCATTGCCGCAGTGACTTATCTGAAATTGTCATCGTTGGCAAATTCTCTCCCTCCGGATAATATTTATGTTCAAATTGATCGATACGTCTTCTTCGTTCTCATGTCCGGATATGTTTTCTTCCATGTCGGTCTGATCATCTGGCTCATATGTGTGCCGTATAAGCGACGTCGTGATATGAAAAAACTCGATCGTCAATATACAAAAAACTGGAAGCAGAAATTAGATGAACTCGGACAATCATGTCAAGGTTCTCTTTATCAAAATCAAAGCTCAAACAAGTATCGACCATCGTCAGCTATGAGCACTCGATCCCCATCGAATAAATCTCCTACTGGTGGATTTGTAAAACAAAATGACAACGTTTTTATCATGGCAAATGCTTCAACATTCGTGCCGATCAGAGAAGAACCGCATAAAGCTACAGTATCCGAGAACTCCACTGAATTACATAATTAAAATAATGGAATTTTTGAATGACTTACACAAAATCGTTTAGAACTTGTTTGTCATTCACCTTGTATTTAGCTGAACAATCAAACTAACTGATTCAACAGATAATATTGTTGTTAAAATAAAAAAAATATTTAGTGATCATTATCTATTTCTGTTTATCCATCTAGAGAGAAGAAAAACAACCATAAATGTTGGAAAATAATGAGGATCTCGAATGAGCCAGTAAACTAGCAAAAGAAAAAGAGAAAATAAATATCATATATACCAGGGAAGTTTGATATTGAAAGCTTATTTACTACTATGAAGGTTTTGATTGCGAGCTAAGTCTATCAACAAGTGTTTGATTTTGGTTTTCTTCTCTATGAGCTCATGAATATTGATGTGTGTTATTGATTGATTTCATTTAACTATTCACGTTCTTCACGGTTTTCCAATACATAATGACTAACATATCCGTAGCTAATACCACCTAAAAGAATATATCGACTGATCATCGTACAACGATGATTATTTTCAACTACAGCTGTTACTCGTTCTCTTATTGTTGAAGTGTTTGTTGGTTTGAGTTTTTTAAACGAGACTATCTTCGACTATTTTCACGTTCACTTTGTATCAAGTCAATTTTTTATAGAGTAGTTTCGCAAGAACGATCAATCAGATTAATCTAACCATGTAACAAAGTCAAAGACAAACTTCAATTCGATCAGCAAAGCTGATTTTTTTATTTGTTTGATTGTTGATCTTAATTCTATATAATGCTACTATATTTATTTCTGAAACCGAGAAAGTGAACCGATTATGTTCGTGCTCTTTGCTATTCTATCTTCACGTATAAGTGAACGATATGGGTGTAGGTGTAGGTGTTGATGTAAGGTTCATCCTATTTTCCGGATATTCACATTCTCAAAATGCTGAAGAAAATACCAGGATACCTTAAGAAAACATGTGTGTATGGCGGTGCAGCTTTCACAGTGTACAATGCAATGTTTATTGCTGTTTTGAGGATATGATATTGATGAGATGTGACTCCTATAATGGTAGTTCCAAGCAGTATAGTTGTCCATACTTTACAAGTGTCCTTTCATACACCACTTTCTTAGAAGCAGCTAAGTTAGTAACATTACTATCCGATGTATGAATGTCACAGTTACTTTTTATCATTTCATTCTGAAAGAGAAAATTAAAAATGGCAAATATCATCGAAATTTTCGGTCCTAGTTTTCGAGACAACTTTCTAGTTCTCTTGTGTCTGCTTGAAGAAAACACAGAGTGTGATGAGAAGAGCATTTTATGATTAGTGTCTCATTTGAACGAACCTCCAGTATCTTGCTTATCATTTGTATTAAATCACGGATTCGAATGAATAGCATGACTAAAAAATAATGATGATAAATTGTGATCGGAGATAGTAAAAATAAACTTCATGAATACAGTGCTAACTAAAAATAAAACAACAGACGGCTTTTTAGCGTTTTATTATAAATTTCTTTATTTTTTCTTACTATTAATAGTTTATGTGTATACACATACACACATGCATTCAATTGTACTGTATCCGAAACTGAAGTAAAATATTCTCATTCCGCATGTCAGACCCAAGACAACATATTTTTATAAAAAATTGTATTTTTTGGATGTACCTAAAATAGCTTGTCTAGCTCAGATTTTTGGTTATGAAAATTACAATAGACATGGGACTGCTTCTTCTATAGTGTTACACAATAGGAGACATTTTTGTCACAAAATGAGAGATCGTCGAAGCCTTAGAATCATTCCATTAGAGCGAGAACGCCATGTTTAAATTTGAAATTCGAGAAATTGACAATTTTAAACCAACTTCTTAACTTATATAATCAAAAATATTTGTAATTGAACAGAATTAAATGAATAAGGTGAGTCCGGTTAGTACAAGTGATAAGAACAATGAGACGTACATATTCGGCATTATAATCGTAGCGATCGATCATGATATGATTGTTGGCATTCTAGTTGCATTATTTTGTTCTGTAAAAGCAACTACACGTGTCGAACGACATCGTTTAAAACGCAGCATGATTTTTACGCGACGTCGAAAAGTTGGTGATACAAGTAGATAGACATAGAACAAAGCACATGAATGTACATAGAGCAAAAGCTGTGTAATACAAAGAAGAAATCTATCCACAGCTGTTACTCCTTGACTTCCCCTGCCTGTGATCAAAAAATATGCTTGCAATAGTGATGCTGGTAATACTGAAAACACCACCGTACTTGTTTGAATCAATATCATTCGAATTACTTGGTGATTGAATTGACTTGTAGCTAAACGTGTACGTTGATGATGACCTGATGTTTTCAAATTCTGCCAGGTAAGACAACCAAAAACACTCAAAAGTATAATCGGCATCGGAACACCAACGATTACGTACATAAGAGATGCCATGCGTTTAAAGATAGCATTGACATACTCACACATTAGAGAATTAGCTGTAACATTTCTGTAGATAGCGAAAGGAACACTGATGCCAGAAGATATTAAAATAGCCGAAAAAACTAGTAATCGAGCTGTATATAATGTCATCCATTCTCGTCGAGCAGTTGATCGGCATGTTTGCAAATAGCGATCAATCGCTGCCAAATACATACAAGTAAGAGCTATTACACCACCAGCAAAATATAAAAATGATGTTGATTTACATATATTTATAGATGTACCATAAAAATCGTAGCCTAACATATTAGTAAGTGAATCTGGAAAGGCAGATGAAAGTAGCACTAACTGTTCACCAAATGCTGATCCGGCCAGAAATGTAGAGCTTGAAAGAGAACGATATTTTTTGAGGCACACAAATGTTGAGATTGTTAGTAGATTACCAATTGATCCGAAAGAGCCGAAGAAAAGCCCGAGATAGATATAGAGATATTTAGAAATAACCATTATCGCATCATTAGACGCATCCATCGATAACATCAGAGAAAGAAAACCTGGTGGATTTTTCTTTTTTGAATGAGTTAAAATCAAATGTACGCCAAGTCAATGACTATATATTGCTCGAACATTCAGAAAATATTGTGTTTAATATAGACTGACATATTACAAGACTGAACTAAAAAGAACAACTGAAGCATCTAAATTTATTGGACACTATCGTTTTGCGTCATCGAAAAAAAAAACTGACAGTTCATATGCATCCAGAAGACAAGATTTTACCGATACTTTCTGACGGGTTGTAAAGAACAAGATGTTAGTTAGATGTCTACTTCATTATTATTGTTGCCGAAATCAGTCACACCCTGTTCATTAAACGTGATGTGACATATCTCTTGTTTTTTTGTAATATGTGATAGAAACGAGTTCGTTTACTTCATTTTTCACACACTGTTCTATAGAAAATCTATCATAAAAATATGAACATTCTCCAACTGAGATAAAGCATTTGCATCGTATAAAAATTTGGACAATAAAGAAGAATGGAGGAACGCGCAAGCAAATACTGACATCAACTGCTGAAGCTGAAAAATCAACGTTTTCACTAATTTTAATCGTTTCATAATAGAATTATTCAATAGAGATAGACGTATATTTTTGGCAGGATATGTCTTTAATAAAGACAAAGAAATGATGTGTACATCGACACCATCGACAGTACCATGGTTAAGAAAACCTATATAAAAGATAAAAGTTCTCATCAATAATGGTATGAGTTCAATCATTGATTGTCTGTTAGTTACATGATTCGTTATTGACGCATCTCTCCCAAAAGTTGTAACAAGTAAAATATGAGAATCAATAGACAAACACCAAAACTTACACACAGTATGATGACCTGATGTACTTAAATGCTGATGTACATTTTTGAAAACTTATCAGCGCAGCTCCTTTGGGACTGACATGTAGAAAAATTTTCTAGAACAATCTAAATTTTGCTGCAAATGTCGTTTAGCACCTTTTTCCCGTTGCTAAGAGTTTCTAGAAAAGAAGTAGAACACCTTAAGAGTGTGAATGTCAAAGTTATTCTCACGCACACATCACACCCTGTCCAAATAATAAGTTGAAACATAATATTCATATTTCAAAGCCTAAACAATAAAAGCTGGAGATTTTTCTAAGTCTATGATTTCAACTAAAGCTTGTTTGTTTTCGCTAACAATTGAAGAATGTTCTAAGAACTGTGTAATCGATCTTTCGACAACATTTCAGGCAGAAAATCTTGATTATCCCTGTTTGTGTAGGATGTGGATGTGGAGTGAGCTTATACGTGTGAAGAGAGGACTCACACACAAAATCCAGGAAAATGCTTAATTCTCAGCGTCTGATTAAAACAATGCATCTTGCATAACATGTATCTCAAGTCTACAACAATCTGAGATTCAGATATTTTCGAATTTCCAGGTACACTGCAGAAGCTTCGAAAGTGTACGCGAAGGGTCGAAAACAGAAAGTCTAGTTATAGATAGCTTGGAAGGTAGTTCGGTGAAGCCTATCTTGAAAATAAAACTGTTACCAGTCATCGATGATTTTAAAGTCTTGTGATTTCTTCTGAATATTGCGTAGTAGATAGTGAACTATTACAGATGAAAAAAAAAATACTTTTTAGTTGCGAAAGTTTTTATTAATTTCTTGATCAAAATATGCATGAAGGCGTATTTAAAAAACACACAATTATTTAAATGAATAAATGAAATTCACAAAAAATATATTCGCTCGATTCTGAGAATGAAAGTTTTCTTTTGATAGTTTATTAATAATTCTTTGTTTAGTGCTAATATTTTGAATACAATAATTTTTAATTGAATTACGATGATTATTAAATGTTTAAAAACACATTATTGAAAATTTTTTCGACTATGTGTTGATGAAGTCGATTGATTTGTAGAGTTAAGACGATTCGAAACTAGATTATAAATAAATTGAGCTGAAGTTGCTGATGATTGAATCTGAGCATAGTTCAAATTTTGACCATCTTTACTAATTAGTTTGGTAATATTATCTGATGCTTTAATGTCTTGTGCATATTGTTGAGCAGACATCTTATGACGAGCATTAGGTGTGTCGGAACGTTGTAAATAAAAATGTGAAATCATATGTGTAACATTACCTTGTCCACAATCAAATGTAACAATAACAGCATCAGATTGATATTTGTCATATAAAGCCTGTGAACGAATAAGAACTTTAACTCGTTTTTTATCAACAATTTCAATCGGATGTGATCCAGTTTCAAGCCACCATTGTGGTTCAGCATGTGTAGCTGCTAATACGAAACCGTTAACAAATGCATGATTAGGATCTACTACTTCAATACCAACAACTTCATCGCGTGTAGATTGTCCATTATGTTTAACGAAATCAGAAAACGCTACTTGTAAAACGTTTCTTAATGCCCAATCGGTTGTTATTATATGAAGACCCTTTTCAACGAATTCTCGTAAACGATAAGCAGCTTCTCTAGGAAAGTTGGAGGCACAATTAATATATACTGTTTGATAAGTTTTCAATGGATAATTCATTAATTCATACTGTTGAACAGTGGTAAATTTTAAATTAAGTTTCGTCAATACTTGATCAATATGGTCATAGGTGCCTGGTACGACAATAACAGCATCCTCACGCATATTTTTTATTGTTGTTTGATCCTGTTGGCTCAATCTTTCTAAAGCTATCGCACCACCAATACTATAAGCTTTTTGCATGCCATTATCACCATGATTTGTATGAATACGCGATGAACGTGTAGTATCTGAGTTCATATTTGATAAGTGACTACTAGCCGTAGCCGATGGAACAAATAATGATGTTCTTGTAGGATGGTGAAAATGGTCGCAATGTCTTGGATCGGATTGTTCACGGCAACTGGTACCATATTTACATTCTTGTTTCCTATTTGAAACTAGATAAAACATAGAAAAACAAATACACAAAGAAGAATTGAGATATTCGATACAAAATTGAATTCTATTTACAGATAAGCAATTGCAACTCGAAATTATTTCCAAGTCTATCATCTCATGATTGATATGGGTTGGCTGGTTCATTCGCAAATCCTGATGATATTTCGCTCATATACAGTATAAACTTGATCCTAGCTTTTTTAGATTTAATTTTTACGTACTCTACTTCCAAAAATTAATTTTAAATTAGCATTTTTAACTCATCGGTCGATTTGATAAAAGGTACTCTAGATCGTCTACAGTATCAAGTTTCCTTCCACTCCACCTAAAACCTGACCGATTTGTCATGATTCTATACGTACATGGTGAAACAGTAACAGGATCTTCACGCATATTTCTTATTGTTGTTTGAT